CCCGGCCCGCGGCTCCCGCAGCCTTTTCCCGAGGGAACGCTCCGTGCCCGGCGCTCCGCTGTCCGCTCTGGAATCCTCACGGGTACAGGCACTCGATGGCTTAGTTAAACAGGAAAGTTCAGCTCCAGCCCATCTGGCAGAGTGCTAGGCTGACCTTTCCATGCACTGTGTGCTTATATATAATACCTATAAATTAAATATATTAACGCATGTATTATTATATAAATAATATACACTTTATAGATAAAATACATAGCGTGTATAAAATATTAAATCTATAATACATAGTGTACATATCACATATAGTTGCATATCATATAAATGTGTATAGTAATTATATATAAAATATCATATGCTATATGTTATATGCAAGGAATATATATATGAATATATATATATAAGGAGGAGGTGAAACTTAGCTGAACAAATATACATATATATATACATGTATTTACATTTTGTTTTAATTTTATTTTATATATGTACAATATACATCTCAGCCTTGGCAGCTGGGAAAATGATGGGAGGTGACAACACTGTTGGGATCCATCCCCTGTGGTCAGGATGGATCAGAGCACCCCACAGAGCAGCAGAAATGAGGGTATATGACAGGAATTATGTATTGCAGGGAAGGCAAACTGCATTACTTTAATCACCAGCATTGCCCCACATCACTTGGTTCATCCTGGAGGGAGAGGCTTTTGCTGGCAGTTCTCGAAGCTGCTGTGTAACACCATCATCCCTTGGCCTGTGTCCTCCCAGCTGGGAGTGAGGGAGGAGGAGGAGGAGGCCTGGTGGGCTTCGTTCAGGATATGGACGAGCTTTCCCTCCATGACCCAGTGGCTTTCCAGCTGTGACCGCCACAGTGACTCCCTGTCACAGACTCAGCTGGGAGCTGCAGAGCTGCCATCAGCCCCTTGAGCTGACACTTCACTAAAGCTTGTCTCTCTCAGACATCCTCCACGCAAATGAGAGAGAATTGTCCATGTCCCCTGTGTATGCCAGCACTGCCCAAGGACCAGGAGAGTTTTTTCTCCCTCCACCATGCCTGGTGGTACCTTACCTGTCCCTGCAGTTCCAGCCCCACATCTCCCTCCTGTTGTGCCTCCTGCAGGTCCTAAATTCATGCCTTGTCAGAGCAGGGACTATTCCAGCTCGGCTGTAGGGGCTATTCCAGCTTGGCTCTCACATCCTGGCTCGTTCCCCCAAGGTGAGGTGAGAGCTGACAGCATCAGCTGCTGAGTTCACTCTGAGGAGGCACCACAGCCATGTGTGGGATTCTAATCAGACCTCCAGGCTGGCATTATCCTGGGATGAATCCACAACATCCATCAGCCGGAGAGCCCAGACATCCCTCCTGGGCACCCCAACCCCAGGCCGAGAGTAGTCACAGCACCCACGGTACAGGTGGTCACTCCTCACAGGTTGCTGCCTTTGTCCTTCAAAAAATTTGGTGAGAGATGGACTTTTTGTGATGTAGGAAGCTGCCTACCTCCTGAGGTCCCTCCTGCATCCACCAGAGAAATGGCAGTTCACAGGGAAGCAAGGGACATCCTGCTACAGGGACAGCCAAGCAGCAGGGGCATGCCCAAAGGGTAGGGAGAGAATTTTGTCCCTGCAGGAACCATGGCAAATCCCTCTGCAGAGCACTCAGCCTCCCACCAACTCCCTCCCAGAGACCTGCTTTGCCCTCCTCTTTAAAGCTCTTCCCTGCCTGGAATCAGGCATGTGGAGAAGGAAGGGCTGTTTATCCCCTTCCCAGCTGGCTCCTTGTTCAGCAGCCTCAGCACAGCAGCCCAGGGATGATGCTGTGGCCTCTGGGTCTCCCAGCACCCTCCTCCTGTCACCATTCCTGGTGTCCTGTGAGGTGCTCAGCGCCATCCCAGCCACAGGGAATGGATCTTATTGGCATTGTCACTTCCCTGCCCTTTTTCCAGCTGCTGAGGCTGAGATGCAACAGGTTTGTGGGTTCTGCTACAGGGCAGCCCCTGGCACAGCAGACAAGGTGTGCACACCTTGGAGGGGCTGGGCTTCCCAAATCCCCCTTCTGTGCTCCTGAAGTTCCCCCTCAGTGAACCACCAGCTTCATTCCTGCGGGGAGAGGCCAAAGCCTTGCAGGGGTGGCCCTGTGAGTCCCACCAGGAACCCGTCAGCTGTTGATGCTGCAGGGTTTGGATCAGCCCTGGGAAGGGTGGCGGGCAGAGATCACAGTGTTATCACTGCCACAAACAGCCTTTCTCCTGGAAAGGGGAGCAACTCTGATTTCTCTGCGGGCTGAAGGTCACGCTCGGTTTTATAGCCAGGCAAAGGAGAAGAAAGGAGCGATTCTGTTTACTTAGGGAGTCATTAATATCCCAGCTCCTGGCATGTACAGAGGCAGCAGGAACCTCCCCCACAGAGCAGCAGAGAGCGAGGCTGTGCAGCCCTTTATTATTCCATTATCAGCCAGGCAGGATTAGGAGGGCGGGTCAGGGAACAGTGCCGGCTTTGAGCAGGTTTAGCTCCTTTCCAAAGGCTTATCCCGGCTCAGTCTCACTCTCTGGACTCGACTCACTTATTCTCTGCGCAGAGGGGTTTGAGTAATGCTGGGGAGAGAGTGGGCACGGGGTCATGGAGCTTTAATAGCCCAGGAGGCAAAACCTGGGAGGTTCCTTCAGCAGGAGCTCATTCTGTATGTTGAATTTCAGAGACCAGGGAGGGCAGTTTCTCAGCTCCGCCAACTCCCGCATTGCTCCCCAGGGAAACCCAAGCCTCGGTGCTGCTTTGGAGCAGTTCCGTGCTCGGGACAACCCGGTGCTGGGGCGGGACAGCCATTCCAGCGGCTTCCTGCAGAGCTGGATGAGGTTTTGCTCTTTATTCTTACCCAAGCTTCTCCCTGGAGCCCGGGTGGGGTGGCCGGAGTGTACCGATCCCAGCCCGGCAAAGAAGGAGGAGCCGTGGGAACTCAGGCAGCAAATCCCTCTTCTTTTCCAGGCCAGAAATGGGGTCTGTGATGGGATGTTGTGTCCCAAGGAAGTAATTCCACTCTGGGAATGCAGGCACCGAGCATCGCAGCAGGGATCACCCCTAGATCGGGATCGAGCCTCCCAGCCCAGCCCCAACCAGGTGGTTCTCATTGCAGCCTCTGACTCACCTCCCAAAAATTCCTGCACTCACATCATGGCAGGAAACCGCTACCGGGAAGTGGTAAAACCCTTGGACGGCCTGAAATTCGGCTTCCCCCAGCGAAGGGGGAGATCAAACGGCAGACTTTGGCCTCAGTCCCTCTGACGCCAGGGCTTGTCATCGGGGGGACGTCTCGGCGAGCGAGTGGTGGGTGTGTGGTTCCTCCAGACTCAGCAGCTTTCTGCCCGGCGTTTGGGAGTGTTTTCCCTGAGGAGGCCTGAGCTCAGAAATATTTTTAAGCAAATTATCAGCTGGGAAGAATGAGCTCAGCTCGTCGGCATTGTTCAGGGCCTGCCGGTGACCCCTGCGGTCCCAGGCTGTGCCGGCAGCTGCTGAGAGCTCAGCGGAGGGTCAGCGCTGGGGAGCAGCCCCCGAGCTCCAGAGCCTGGCTGTGATTTAGGAGCTGCCACAAAAAACCTGAGCTCCTTGGAGGCTGAGATCCTCCCTGGGCCCCGAGAGAAGCTGGATTTTGAGGGAAACCTGCCACCCCTGGGTCATGGAAGCAGGTAGAAGCCACTTTCCCGAGTTCTGCAGCAGATCAGTGGTAGAGCCCAGACCTGTGTCCTAGCTCAGGTGGGATGTGATCGCAGTCACTCTCCTCCAGGAGATATCCCTGTTACCTCTGTTCCTCCTGCTCTGTGCTGGTCCCCCCATGTCAGCCCCAGCCTCACGGCTGAGAGGGGCTGATCCACAGTCCAGGGGCTGGGTCTGCACAGAAACAGCTCCGCTCCCGCAGGAGCTGCCTGGAAAGTTCCCACTGCTGCAGTCGGTGCCTGTCCCCCTGCCAAGCCTGCAGCCCTGCCAGCCCCGATGCAGCGCCAGCCGCGCTATTTCTGGCTCCACCTTGAGACATGTACCTTCAGCAGTGGGAACGATGCTAAAAGAGATGGATTCGGGAGGAGTGCATCCCCCTCCCGTTGCCGTCCCCGGGTGGCTGCCGGCGGACGCGGCAGAGCGGGCAGGGATGTGGAGGAGCTGTGTGCCTCGAAGGGAAACGCTGCAGTTCATCTTGCAACAGAGACACGTCCTCTGCATGCCTCCTCTGGGGCTGTGATGTGGCAGTGAGACCCCGAAATCCAGGCCTGCCCTGGCACCGAGAGCCCCAGGTCTCTGCTGCAGCAGGGGCATGAAGGGTTATGGAAGGTGTGGGAAGCCCCCAGGCTCTGTGCTTTTCTTCCCCCAGGGTAACTCCCAGCACAGATCAGCTCCTGCAACAGCTGGGGGCAGGAGCAGGAGGGCCAGAGGGAGGTTTTTGGTGTATTTAACCCCTGGCTTCTTGCACAACTCAAGACAAACCTTGTCTGCTGTTTCTGCCTCAGTTTCCCCAAACTCGGCACCATCACCTTGCCCAGCGAACCCAGGGCATGGTGCTTCAAATATACAAACCTTCTCCACCAAATGTTGTCTGCGGCATCTGGGATACCCCAGGGCTCCTGCCGGGACAGAAGCTGGAGGGGTGTTTGCTTTTGAAGGGAGACTGGAGGTCAGGGCTGGACTGGATGCTCTGCTCCATGGGCGAGTCCCCTTTGCAGTGAGGAAGGAAGTGGGGGGATTCTCCACGGGCTGTCCCCCCATCACAGCTGCTCCGTGCCACATCCCCATGTCACATCCCGGCACTTCCCTCCCACACACACGGCCTGAGCAGCGCCGCGAGGGCGGGAATGGAGCCGATCAGGACAAACCCGACCAGCAGTCGCCTGCCCACAGCCTGGGAGCTGCTGAGCACCCTTCGGGCTGCCCTTGGGGTCGAGGGGCCTCGTTAAGGCTCTCATAATTAAGATAGCCCCTTCCTTCCCTGTGGTTATCAGCACGGGGAAGGAAGTGATCCCACTTCTGCATTAGACATCACATCTGGAGGCAAACGAGTGGTGTCCGTGTGGGACCGGGTTCAGTCAGCCTGTGGCTGTGGAGAGCAAAGGGACCCGCCTGGGGCTGGTGTTGGCACCGCGCTGGTCACGGCATGGAGTGGGCATCCAAGGGTGCTACAGTGCCAGGTCTGGGGAGTCCCCGCAGACCAGAGATGGAAAAGCCCTGTGTCTCCCCTGCCATCACAGAGGCTGAGCCTGTGTCAGTCCCATTCACCATCTGAGACAAACCTGGCTGCAGCCCCCAGCCCTTGGCATTCCCGCTGTGCACAGCCCTTCCCCAACCCTTCCTGCACCCATTGGTGGCCCCGACACCTTGCGATGAAGTCTCTCTCACCCCTTTCCTCACAACACGAGCATTGCCAGCAGAGCCTGGATGGACATTCCACTCCTACTTAAAGCACAGGCTGGCAGGTCGAAGGGGGATCCCTGTGGCACAGGGTCACAGGGCCTTGGGCGGATGCAGCATGGTGAGGACAGAGCCCAAAGCAGCTTCATCATCCCATGGCACCTGCCAGGAGCAATGGGACAGCTGCTCTCACATCCTCCCAACACGACTCATGCCTTCCTGAGCGGAAATTGGGAGCGGGTTAGTCACCAAGAAGGGTGAGGGGCAGGTCAGGACGCTGCACTCCCCGGCATCCAGCTATTTCCTCCCATGACACCTTGCTGAGGAACCTCGGGCTGTTTACAAACGCTGGACTGTGTCATGGCAGCAGCCGGGGAAGCGGCTGAGCCCAAATCTCAGCCAGAATCAGCTGCGAGTGCTGCAGTTCCCAAGCCAAAAGCATCAGGGCTGGGGCAGGTTTTGCCCCTCTGAGCATTTCTTTGTACCCACAGTGGCCAGGGAAGCCTTTCTGGAAAGTGCAGTGCTCCAAATCACAGCATCTTGGCTCTCCTCATAGGTCTGCTATGGGAAAATGAGACTCAACCATGTTATCTGCCCAGCTGGTCATCCTGTGCCCTCCCTGCAATTTCTTGGCAAGTTCCAGAAGGTTTAAGCAGGGACAGAGGTCTCAGTGCTAATTAAACTGCCCCAAGTGTGAGGAGTGATGCCTCCCTGAGGTGCAAGCTCAAGGTTAGGACAGAGTTATATCCATGGGGAATTGGTTGGCAAAAAACAAGTCCCTGTTGGGCTGGGCCAGACCCCTTGGAGCCCATAAGTCCCTCGGGATGGTGAGGTCAGTCCTGTTGCCAGCAAAAACTGCTGTCAATGATCCTTGCCAGCTGCCGTGAGGACAAAGCAGCTCCCGGCCTGGCTGGCACCCTCCAGACAAGTCCCCTGGGCTCTGTCCCCAGAACTCTGTGCCCCAAGGTGGGGTTCACAGCACAGCCCACCTCCCTCCACGAGGCTTCATGCCCAAGGCAAGCTCCAGCCCCCGTGGATGCCCGATGGCGAGCCCCCAGTAACGGGTAGGACATCATCCGTCTCCATCCTCCCTCCTGGAAGTATCCCCCGCCGTCTGCCCACTGTCCTCACCCCTCGCCGTGCCTCGATTTCTCCAGGCCCCTGCTTCACTCCTTTGGTGCTTGAAGAGATGCAGAAATGGTATTAAATCGCTGTTCAGTCCAACGTGGGGGCTCCAGGGACATCTGCCAGCGCCCATCCGTGCCTTGCTGGGGATGATGTGCAGGAGCTGGGGCGGGGGTGGCTGCCGGGTGCTCTGCCTCCCCGCTCCCAGCGTGACCGTGGGTCTATTCCTTACCATCCCCAGCACCGTGGGAGCACCCACGCCAGACACCCACCCCGGCAGCGCAGAACCGCTCGCGGAGAACCCACAGCGTCGCTTTGCCCCCGCCCGTCTGCAGAGCCGGTTCCCCCGCGGAGCACTGCCCGGAGCGCGGGGCGGCGCTTGGGGAAACTGAGGCAGCTGGCGGGGGGCGGGG